CCATCCCCCCGGGGATGATTTCTCACTTTCTGTCTCTCTGTCTCTTTCTATCTTTCTGGCAAGTGCACGCACCCTATGGCAAAAAACTCTCAAAAAAAAAAAAAAAAGTGGTCTAAACTGGCACAAATCAAGAAAGAAAAAAATTGCACCTAAAACCAAGAAGAGACAACACAACATTGTCCATCATGTCGGAAGACGGCTACAGGTGTCCCGGCTGATTAGAGGAAATGCAAAGTTCTCTTGTTTACTAATTGGTCTCCATCCTACCCTCCTGGGGGAGGCAGCTTGGCTGTGTGCGTGTGTTTTTGACAAACACCCTTCTCTCTTCTGCTCATTATTATTATTTTTTTTTTTAGAGGTTTTTGCTATAGGGCGCGTGCACTCACCAGACAGACAGAGACAGAGAGACAAAAAGCGAGAAATCACCCCCCAGGGGGGATGGCCACGCTGCAATCCCCTCTCCTCCATTCTCCTCTCGGGATCTTGGGCACGCACGCACACACGCCCAGAGTGAGTTTAAGCCACCGGGTCTGGGACTCGAACTGTGGTCGACTCCATGGGAGTCCAGCGACATAGTCATTACACGAACTGCTGGTCCACAGTATTTTGAAGTTTTCAAAGTTGTTTAGTAACTGTCAAGAGCTATGGAGTATGAACATACCGTGTTTTGAGACGCAAAGTAAATGGTTGTGGAAAAATGTAAAAATCAATGAATGAATTAAGAGTTTGAAGAAACAGAGACTTACCGGGAAGACACAAGATAGCCCAGCACTCGAGCCACCAGCAGCTGCCCGTGGGTCTGCTCCAGGCGCACACAGACCTGGTGCGTTGCTTCTTCCGCGGTTGTGACCAAAGGGGCCGGGACTGTGAAAGAGGCCCATTTCCGGGCCTCCTCGAAGGCCAGCCTCAACCTCCCTGGGTGCCCGCACTCTGGGAGACTAGCCCAGAGCAGGTCCCTTTGCACGGGGCTGAGTGTCCTCCTCGCGGCCACCAACAAGACCTGGATCATCTCCTGTCCTTGGTTTCCAGAAAGGGGCTTGACCTCCCAGTAAGCCTCGGGGTCCTTGAGCGTCTGCCGCAGGGTGTCTAAAATTCCCCGCTCCCCTGAGCAAGCTGAAAGGATGAGATGTACTCTCGGGGGGCACTTGAGAGGCAGCCAGGGGATCCTCTGAGTGGGGTGGACAGAATCCAGGTCGTCCATGGAGTCTAGGAGGAGTACAAGGGACTCAAAGTTTCTGCAGGAGACGGTGTGGAGCAGGGCATGGAAAAACTGGACCACCCTGTTGTGGACATCCAGGACCTGAGCCGGGGGCAGGGGCAGCCCGTAGGCCAGGCACACCTGAAAGCAGATGGTCTTGAGCAGACTACGGTCATCTGAGCTCCTCTGCGATGTCCCCAGCAGCCGCAGGATGGTCACCGTCTTGTGGCCTAGTAGCCCGGGCACTTGCTCAGCCATTTTGCACATCAAGGCTGTCTTCCCGATGCCCGGGGGTCCGTACACCACCAGAGGGGTATGGGGGTTGCTGTCATTCAGCCTGAGCCATTGCCCAAATTGGGCCAAGAGCTCCTGGCGTCCACAGAAGTTCCGGGTGGCCTCTGCGCTCTGCCAGAGGTGGTGACGGATCTCCTGGTAGAGCCACGTCAACTCCTGTCGGGCCGCCTCCAGCTCACGGAGGTGTTCGAGGATCTGGTGATTGGCCCTGGCCACGAATTGCTCACTCAGTTCCTTCAGGTAGCGGGCATGAGCCTTGTTCTTGGGGTTCACCAGGTCACGGCTCCATGGTACATGGTGGGATTTGAGGACGCCAGGCCGGGCATCCGCGATGCGTCCTTTGAGGCTGCTGAGAAGGTTCTGGGCATCGGCGTCCAGGCAACCATCTGGAAGCCGGTCTACCATCTTGAGGGCGCAGTCTTCCAGGATGTGTCTGTTGAGGTCTTGGATTTGTCGCAAGAAGACGGTGGCTCCCCGGTCCCCGTCTGCGGAGCTTAGCACGCCCTGGTCTATCTCCCACTCGAGGACTGCAGAAATGGAGAGGTGTGTGGGGGGGAAGCTGGTTTATCACTGTGTATGTGGCTGGCTGGGGTGGGGTTACTGGGAGACCCATTTGGGGACACGATCCTTGTTCTCAAGCATCATACACCACTGTCACCTAGGGGGCTTGGGAAAACCCATGTGACTTCATCCACCTCTTGAAACTCTGAGTCAGCCCGTTGAGGTGGGACCTGTGAGTTTCCTTTCTTTAAAAAAAAAAAAAAGAATTATTTATTGGGGCCAGCAGGTGGTGTGGTGGTTAAGAGCACTGGATTCCCACATGGCCGACCACGGTTCAAGTCCCAGACCCGGCAGCTTGCTTTCTCACTTTCTCTCGCTCTCTCGCGCTGTCTCTCTCTGGTCAAATTAAAAATAAATTAATTAAAGAAATAAAGTGCAATAAAATAATTCTAAAAAAAAAAAAAAAAAAAAAGAATTATTTATTGGGGCCAGCAGGTGGCATGGTGGTTAAGGGCACTAGACTCCTACAAGGCTGACTATGGTTCTAGTCCTGGACCTGGAGGCTTGCTTTTTCACTTTCCCTTTCTCTCGCTGTCTCTCATCCAGTCCCTCTCTGGTCAAATTAAAAATAAATTAATTAAAGAAATAAAGGGCAATAAAATAATTCTAAAAAAAAAAAAGAATTATTTATTGGGGCCAGCAGGTGGCATGGTGGTTAAGGGCACTAGACTCCTACAAGGCTGACTATGGTTCTAGTCCTGGACCTGGAGGCTTGCTTTTTCACTTTCCCTTTCTCTCGCTGTCTCTCATCCAGTCCCTCTCTGGTCAAATTAAAATAAATAAATAAATAAAGTGAAATGAAATAATTATTTTTAAAAAAGAATTATTTATTTTTATTAATTATTATTTCTAAATTTGAATTTAATTTTTAATATTTATTTTATTTTATTTTTAAATTTGCTATAGGGCACATGCACTCACTAGAGAGAGAGAGAGAGAGAGAAAGTGAGAAAGTAAGCTTCCAGGTCTGGGACTCAAACCATGGATAGCCATGTGTGAATCCAGTGTCCTAACCACCATTCCACTTACTGGTCCCATTATTATTACTTCAGTTCATGAAAGAGGGGTAGGGGGTAGATGTGAGAAAGCAAGTCGCCAGGTCTGGGATTCAAACCATCGTCAGCCATATGGAAATCCAGTGCCTTAACCACGATGCCACTTCCTGGTCCTTTTTATTTATTTAATTTAATTAATTAATTTATTTATTTATTGGAGAGGTTTTTTTCACTATAGGGCATGTGCGCTTGCCAGGCAGACAGAGAGAGACAGAGAGACAGAAAGTGAGAAATCACACCCCGGGGGGGATGGTCACGCCGCAATCCCTTCTCCTCCATTCTCCTCTCGGGATCTTGGGCACGCACGCACACGCGCCTGGTGTGAGTTTAAGCCACCAGGTCCGGGATGCGAACCGCGGTCGACTACGTGGGAGTCCAGCGACATAGCCATGATGCTAACTGCTGGTTCCCATATTTTTTAAAGGTTTTTTGCTATAGTGTGCATGTACGTGCCAAGGAGAGACAGAGAGAGACAGTGAGCTGAAAAGTGAGAAATCTCCCCCCCCAAGTGGGATAGCCATACTACAAGTCGTTTTCCTTTATTTTCCTGCTGGAATTTTGGGCGCACACACACACACACACACACACACACACACACACACACACTCACACAGGCGCCCAGTGTGATTTTTCAAGCCACGGGTCTGGAACTCCATCTGTGGTCCGACATGCAGGAAGCCAGCACCTTAACCACCACGCCACCTGCTGGCCTCTTTATGTTTGCATTCTTTTTTATTTCTTTTTAAGTTATTTTATATAACTTTATGGGACCAGCAGTTAGCGTCATGGCTATGTTGCTGGACTCCCATGTAGTCGACCGTGGTTCAAGTCCTGGACCCGGTGGCTTAAACTCACGCCGGGCACGTGTGCGTGCGTGCCCAAGATCCCGAGAGGAGAATGGAGGAGAAGGGATTGTGGCGTGACCAGCCCCCCTGCGGGGCGCTTTCTCGCTTTCTGTCTCTCTGTCTCTGTCTGTCTGGCGAGCGCACGTGCCCTATAGCAAAAACCTCTCAAAAATTATTTTATTTAACTTTATTTATTATTATTTGCTTTAATTTGATCAGAGAAAGACAGAGAGAGAGAGAGAGACAGGGAAAATGGGAAGGTAAGCTGCCAAGCCTGAGACTCGAACCACAGTCACCCACACGGGAGTCAAGCATCCTAATCACTACGCCACCAGCTGGCTCCCTGCGTTCCTTTTTTTAAAAGAGATTTTTGCTATAGTGCATGTGCTTGCCAGAGAGACAGAGACGAAGAGACAGAGAGAAGTCACCTCCCAAGGTGGATGGCCACATTACAATCCCTTCTCCTCTCAGGATTTTAGGCATGGAAGCACAGGTGCCTGGCGTGAGTTTGAAGCCAGTAGGTCCAGGACTCAAACCCTGGTCAGCTCTGTGGGAGTCCAGCAACATAACCATTATGCCTTTTCTAACAGGCTCCCAGGTGATCTGAGGCTTCCGGTCCAGGCACTGCCGCCAGAGCAACATCGATTTAACCGTCGTTAATCAAGAACCGTTTGGGTAACCAACAGAGACTCTGTAAGAGAAGTGCCCCCGTTGTAAACCAATCCTGGCATCCTCAAAAGTTAAATATGCAGGGAACCAGCAGTTAGCATAATGGCTATGTCGCTAGACTCCCACATAGTCGACCGTGGTTCGCATCCCGGACCCGGTGGCTTAAAACTCACGCCGGGCACGTGTGTGTGCGTGGGTGCCCAAGATCCCGAGAGGAGAATGGAGGAGAAGGGATTGCAGCGTGACCATCCCCTCTGGGGGGTGATTTCTCGCTTTCTGTCTCTATGTCTCTCTCTCTCTCTGTCTGGCGAGTGCACGCGCCCTATAGCGAAAACATCTCAAAACAAAACAAAACAAAACAAAAAGTTAAATATGCAGGGGCCAGCAGGTGGCATGGGGGTTACAGTGCTGGACGCCCACTCCAACCACAGTTTGAGTTCTGGACCCAGGGGCTTAAAACTCACACCGGGCGTGTGTGCATACGTGACCAAAATACCAAGAGAAGAATGGAGAAGGGATTGTAGCATAGCCAGCCCCTGGGGGTGAAAAAAAAAAAAGAAAAAAAAAGAACTCCCTTTCTCTGTCTCTTTCTGGCAAGCGGGCATGCCCTCTAGCAAAAAAAAAAAAAAAAAAGAATCGTGCCAGCAAGTGGCATGGTGGTTAAGGCCCTGAACTCCCACATGGCCAACTGTGGTTCAAGTCTCGAACCTGGTGGTTTGCTTTCTCAATTTTCCTCTCTCTCTCGGTCTCTCTCTTTCTCTCTCTCTCTCTGGTGAGCACACATTTAATTTTAAAATAATAACAATTGCAACAACAAGATGGCATGATGGTTATGTTGCTGGACTCCCACGTGGTTGACCACCGTGCGAATCCTGGACCCAGCATCTTGAAACTCATGCCAGGCATGTGTGCGTGAGTGTCCAAGATCTAAAGAGAATGGAGGAGAAGGGATTGTGGGGTGGCCCTCCCCTCCAGGGGGTGATTTCTTGCTTTGTGTCTCTGTCTCTCTGGTGAGCACACATACCCTATAGCAAAAAAAATCTCTCTTAAGAAAAACATAATAATAACAAACATTAAATAATTCCTTTTTTTTTTTTGGAGAGGTTTTGCTATAGGGCACGTACACCCGCCAGAAAGACAGAGCGAGACAGAGAGACAGAAAGCAAGAAATCACCCCCCAAAGGGGATGGCCACACCGCAATCCCTTCTCCTCCATTCTCCTCTCGGGATCTTGGGCATGCACGCACATGTGCCCGGCGTGAGTTTAAGCCACCAGGTCCAGGACTTGAACCGCGGTCAACTACATGGGAGTTCAGCAACATAGCCATTACGCCACCTGCTGGTACGCCCCAAATGAAATAATCTTAAAAAAAGAAAAAAGAAAAAAGAATAAAGAAAACCGTAGACTGTTGCGTTGTTGACAGAGGGACAAGTCCATTCCAAAGGTGTGGTCAGTTTCACGTGGGCTCCCAGGGGCGTCCCTGCCAGCTCACCTGACCGATGGTAGCGGTGCCACTGCTCCTGAGTGAGAAGGCCCAGCCTCCAGGCCTCCTGGGCTCCCAAGCGTAGGACAGAGGTCAGAGAGGCCTCCTCGGGCCCTCGGGCCTCCCTGGCCCCCAGGACCTGTAGGATGTAGGCGGGGGGCACAGCGTTGTCGTCCCTCCGGAAGTGCCGAGCCACCAGCTCCAGGTCACGTGGTCTGGCGGTCAGCTGAGACTTCAGTGCCTCCCACTCCTTCTCCTCGATCAGTGCAGGGACAGGGCAGGGGCCATACTGGTCACCTACAAGGGCCTGGCAGAGAGTTGGGTGGAGAGGGGAATATAGGTTCAATTCCCGACTCGGGCATTTAGGTCTGGGGCCACGGGCGAGGGACACTGAGCCCCTGAAATTGGGCTTGATGTGGGACCAGCAGATGGTGTAGTAGTTATGTCGTTGGACTCCCACATGGCCCACCGTAATTCGAGTCCCCAACCCAGTGGCTTGAAACTCACACTGGGCATGAGCATGTGTGTGCCCAAAATCTTGGGAGTAGACCAGAGGAGGGATTGCAGTGTGGCCATCCCCTGGGGAGGTGATTTCTCGCTTTCCCTCTCACTGTCTCTCCGGGAGAAAAAAAAGGGCTTGGTGTAATGCCATGATGATAACTACATTAAAAAGTGGGGGGCCAGCAGTTAGCGTAATGGCTATGTTGCTGGACTCCCACGTAGGCGACCGCGGTTCACATCCCGGACCCGGTGGCTTAAAACTCACGCCGGGCGCGTGTGCATGCGTGCCCAAGATCCCGAGAGGAGAACGGAGGAGAAGGGACTGCGGCGTGACCATCCCCCCTGGGTGGTGATTTCTCGCTTTCTGTCTTTCTGTCTCTCTCTGTCTTTCTGGTGAGCGCACGCGCCCTATAGCAAAAACTTCTCAAAAAAACCCAAAAAGTAATAATAATAATAGGAGCCAGTAGGTGGCTTGGTGGTTAAGGGTGCTGGGCTCCCACATCGCTGGGGAGTCATGGTTTGAATCCCAGACCTGGCAGCCTGCTTTCTTGCATTCTCTCTCTGAACAAATGAAAGTAAGTAAATAAATAAATAAATAAATAAATAAAGTGAAATAAAAGCATTATTTTAAAATGACAATAATAATAACAACTAAAATATAAAAAGGAAAGTGAAGTGGGACCAGCCAGTGGCATGGAGCTTAACGTAGCCGGATCCCACCTGAATGTGCTGTTGCAATTCCGAACCCAGCAGCCTGGGCACACCAAATCCTAATGAAGCGATTGTGACATGACCACGCCCCCCGGGGGGAAATACGTTCTTCCCCTCACTCTGTCTCTGTCTCTCTGCCTCTCTCTGGCAAGCACATGCATCCTTCAGGAAAAAACTAAAACACTCCCGTGTGTGGGAATCAGAACTCCTGCCACAAGCCGCTCTCGGGGCTCTGGAGACGTTGTAGTTGCTGGTGGCTCCAGAGACCAGAGCCTCTAAAAGGGAACCCCGCGGGGATCTGTCCCCGGGCCACCGCATAGCCTAATGACTTATTTACCAGGGACTCATCTCCCCAAAGGCCTCCAGAACATCTTTGATTTCTTGGGGCACGTCCCCCATATCAGAACCATGGAGGAGAACGATGCTTTGGTGCTTAGGCAGGGGAGGGCTCGTCTGCTTCAAAAGAGAAGCAGCAAGTGCATACAGGCCATCTGGCCTTCTAGAAGGTTCCAGGGCTGGCTGGGCAGGCCTGGGACAGCGCTGAGATCATCTTCTAGTCCCCCAAGCAACTACCAACCATGATGTGCTTTTCACTGCCTGCAATTTGGGTTGCAAAACCAAATTCCTCCTGGAATTAGGTTTCTTCCTTACCTTCCTTTTTTTTTTCTTTTCTCTTTCTCTCTCTCTTTTTTATTTCCCCTAAACCCTTATTTTCCTTGGAAACTCCTTAAAAAAATAATCAAGGGGGGGGTGACCAGCAGGTGGCATGGTGGTTAAGATGCTGGACACTCCCACATGGCCAACCATGGTTCAAGTCCTGGACCTGGTGGTTTGCTTTCTCACTTTCTCTCTCTCTCTCTCTCTCTGCCTCTCTCTGGTCAAATTAAAAAAAAAAAAAAAAAGAATAAATAAAATTTTAAAAATAATCAAGGGAGCTGGCAGGTGGTGTGGTAGTTAAGGGCACTGGACTCCTATATGGACAACTGGGGTTTGAGTCCTGGACCTCGTGGCTTGCCTTCTCACTTTCCCCCTCTCTCTCACTCTGTCCCTCTCTAGTCAAATTTAAATAAATAAATAAATAAATAAATAAATAAATAAATAAAGTGAAATAAAATAATTCCTTTAAAAAATTATCAAATTCCTTTGGAAAACTAAATTTGAAGGGCAAGAAAAATTGTGAAGGAAAATACATAAGAAACGAGAAATGGAAAATGATTTGTTGAAGATAACATGTATGGTGATTGTTGAAAAGAATTTTTTTTCACTTTAGTTATTATTTATTTATTTATTTTAATTTGACCAGAGAGGGACAGAGAGAGAGAGAAAGTGAGAAAGCAAGCCACCAGGTCTGGGACTTGAACCATGGTCAGCCATGTGGGAGTCCAGTGCCCTTAACCACCACACCGCCTGCTAGCCTAGTATGGTAATATTTTTGTCTGAGCTACTATACAGTGTATTCTGGATGGGAAAACTCATTTTGTATGTTGCAATGAAATACAGTGAGTGGATGTAAAATAAATACATTTAAAATAAAAATATTAAAATATCATGAAAGAAATTAATAAGCAAAGGCATAATGCTTTCTAGATATTACAGTGTATATGCATATATATATATTTTTTTAATTTATTTAATTCCACTTGTTATTATTATTTCTTTAATTTGACCAGACAGAGACAGTGAGAAAGAGAGAAAGAGAAAGCGAGAAAGCAAGCCGCCAAGTCCAGGGCTCGAACCACGGTCGGCCATATGGGAGTCCAGCACCCTTATCCACCATGCCACCTGCCGGCTCCTATATGTATATTTTTAAAGACTTTTTTGCCATAGATTATGTGTGCTTGTCAGAGACAGAGAGACAGAAACAGAGACAGGGAAAGTGAGAAATCACCTTCCGGGAGGTAGGGGGGATGGCCATGCCACAATCCTTTCTCTTCCATTCTCCTCTTGAGAGTTTGGGGGTATGCGCGCACACACTCAGTGTGATTTTCAAGCTGTCGGGTATGGGACTTGAACCACAGTCAGCCATGCAGGAGTCCAGCATCTTAACCACTACACCACCTACTGGCCCTGCATATTGTTTTATAATTGCCTGATGGAGAGAGAGCATGAGAGAAAACATTTCCCAATGGGGTGTGGTCATGCCACAATCCCTTCTCCTCCATCTCTCCATCTTGTTGGGATGTGGGGCGTGCATGCACACGTGCCTGGTGTGTTTTTCAAGCCACTGGGGGTGGGATTGGAAGCATGGTCAGCTATGTAGGATCCAGCTCCCTTAACCACTAGGCTACTGGGCTATCCCATAGAGTTTATTTTTATTTATTTATTTACTTTTTGTGGATGGCTTCCATATGCAATGTGGAGGGCATTGCATATGGAAGCCATTCACATTTTTAAATTTAACTTTATTATTTATGTACTTCTTTTTAAAAATTTGACCAGAGAGGGACAGAGCAAGAGTGAGTACAAAAGTGAGAAAGCAAGCCGTCAGGTGTGGGACTCAAACTGCGATCAGCCATGTGGGAGTCCGGCATCCTTAACCATCACGCTATCTGCAGACCCATTTTTTTCTTTTTTTCTTTTTGGAGAGATTTTTGCTATAGGGTGCATGCACTCAGCAGAGAGACAGAGAGAGATGGACAGACAGAAAGTGATCAGGACCAGCAGTTGGTATAATAGCTACGTCGCTGGAGTCCCATGTAGTCAACTGCGGTTCGAGTCTCAGACCTGGTGGCTTAAGTGTGTGTGTGCATGCCCAAGATCCTGAGAGGAGAATGGAGGAGAAAGGATTGCGGTGTAGCCAACCCCCCTGGGGGATGTGCGCTCGCCAGAAAGACGGAGAGAGACAGAGAGACAGAAAGCGAGAAATCACTCCCCAGGAAGGATAGTCACCCTGCAATCCCTTCTCCTCCATTCTCCTCCTGGGATCTTGGGCACACACACACACATGCACACGTGCGTGGCGTGAGTTTGAAGCCAACAGGTCTGGGACTTGAACCATGGTCAGCCATGTGGGAGTCCAGCGACATAACCATTACGTCATCTGCTGGTTCCTCTAGTTTCTTTTTTTAGAGAGACTTTCGCTACAGGGCGTGTGTTCACCAGAGAGACAGAGAGACGGAAAGCGAGAAATCCCTCCCTGGGGGGATGGCCACGCCGCAATCCCTTCTCCTCCATTCTCCTCTCAGGATTTGGGGCACACATGCACATGTGCCCTGCACGAGTTTCAAGCTGCCAGGTCTGGGATTCAAACTGCGGTTGACCATGTGGGAGTCCAGTGCCCTAACCACTAAGTCACCTGCCTCTGCCCTCCTTCCTGTTTTGAGGGAAGTCTAATCTCTAAGGCAGTGCTACTGAATAAAATGTTTTGCAAAGCAGAAAGAGCTCTGGTTTGCACTGTGCAGTATAGCAGCCAGTAGCTGTTACAACGTAGCTAGTCAAACTGAACATATTAATTTTATTTCATTTTAATTCACTTAAATAGTCATGCGTGGTGTGTGGCCATTGCGTTGGACAGTACAATTTTTTTTTTTTTAATTTGCTACAGGATACATGCACTGGCTGGAGAGAAACAGAGGGAGAAAGAGAGACAGGGAAGTGAGAAATCAATCCCCTTTAGGGATGGCCACACTGCAATTTCTTCTCCTCCATTCTCCTCTTCGGATTTTAGGCATGCACGCACATGTGCCGAGCATGTTTTTTCAGTTCACTGGGTTCAGGACTCGAACTGTGAAGTCAGCCATGTGGGATTCAGTGCCTTACCCAGCATACCACCACCTGCTGGCCCCCATTGGCTTCAACATTTTACCAGCTTAACTGCTGCTTCTATTGAACTACTAGTGTCTGGATCCCAGCTAGCTCTGCAGAGAGAGAGTTCTGTGATCGATTAGCAATGTCTGCCACGGGCAGGCTACAAGGACAGGGTATAATAGCAGAATTACCACCTACTTCCCTCCACTGATCTGTTTGGCAAGGGAGTAGAGGCCATATCCTGATGACAGAGAAGAATTAAGAGCTAAGCCATCTCTCCTGAGACTCACCACAAAAGCTGGTCCTATGGATGTTTTCTGACACCGGTCAAGCTCCTCCAAGCACAGGTCTGGGGTCATGTGATCCGTGGCCTCCGTGTTCCGAATACCCCACCTCAGATCAACAACCTGAAGATTACAAATGTGGGTTTGTCAGACAAGTGGTGTGATAGGTGATTATTTTCCCCAAAATTCCTTTTGATAAAGGCATAGAGTTTCTTTCAATTATTTTTTCTAAGAATTATTTATTTGGGGCTGGCAGGGGTGTGGTGGTTGGGATGCTGGACTCCCACAAGCCAACCATGGTGGCTTGCTTTCTTCCTCTCCCCCTTTCCCTCTCTTTCTCTTTCTCTGGTCAAACTGAAGAAAAACAATAAATAAATAAAATTAAATAAATATTTTTAAAAAGAGAATTACTTATTTAACTTTAGTGATTCATTAATTTATTTTAATTTACTGATTTGACCAGAGAGAAACACACAGAGAGGTGGAAGTACGTGGAAACGGCAAGCCAGCAGGTCTGGGACTCGAACTATTATTGTCCATGTGGGAGTGTCCAGTGCCTTAACCACCATGACACCTCTTGGTCCCTCTTTCAATTTATTTTTTAGAATGATTTAATTTATTTTTTCTCATCAATATTAGCCTTGAATAATTTATTTTAATTTATTATTATTATTAATTATTTGACCAGAGAGAAAGAGAAAGCGAGAAAACCAACTGCCAGATCCAGGACTCGAACCATGGTTGGCCATGTGGGCCTTCACCACACCACCTACCTACTGGTCCCTCTTTCAATTGTTTAAGTTTTGCTTCTTTTTCCTAAAAAGTGTATTTATGTATGTGCCAGTCAGGTGGAATGGCGGTTAAGGGGGCTGGATCCCTCAAAACCAACTGTGTGGTTCGAGCCTTGGATCCGGCAGCTTGAAAAAGATGCTGACACGTGTGTGTGTGTGTGTGTCCCCAAACTCCTGAGAGGAAAAGGAATTTCAGCACGACCATTCCCTGCCGGGTGGTCATTTCTCGCTTTCCCTTTCCTTCTCTCACGCTCTATAGCTGTCTCTGACAAGTGCATGCACCTTATAGAAAAAAACATTTAAAAATATGGGGCCGGCAGGTGGTGTGGTGGTTAAGGGCACTGGACTCGCACACGGCTGAGCATAGTTCGAGTCCTGGACCTGGTGCCTTGCTTTCTCACTTTCTCTCTCTCACTTTGTTTCTCTCTGGTCAAATAAAAATAAAAATAAATAAACGAAGTTAAGTAAAATAATTCGTTTAAAAAAATAATCATTCTTTAAAGAAAAAAATAACTTGGGCATTTTTAAATGATTTCACTTTAGGCAAGGACATGTCCACACTTGTTGAGCGAGTTTTCTTTGCAAAGGAGGGTGTTTAGTTTAGCCAAAACTGATTGCAGCCAAGTCTCCTTGGTAACTACACACTAGTGGTTCATTTTTGCCCAACTGAAGCAGTAAAGATGACCCCACAGAAGGTTGAGATGTAGGAGAGGCGAAAAGAACCCGGAACAATTCCTGCCTCCTTAAATAACTTCTTCTTTCTTTCTTTCTTTTTTGTTTTTTGGAGAGGTTTTTGCTATAGGGCGCGTGCGCTCACCAGAAAGACAGAGACAGAGAGACCGAAAGCGAGAAATCACCCCCCAGGGGGGATGGCCACACCGCAATCCCTTCTCCTCCATTCTCCTCTCGGGATCTTGGGCATGCACGCACGTGTGCCTGGTGTGAGTTTAAGCCACCGGGTCTGGGACTTGAACCGCGGTTGACTGCGTGGGAGTCCAGCGACATAGCCATGACGCCAACTGCTCATCCCAAACCCAGCATGATTTTCAAGCCACCAGATCCAGACTCAATCTGCAGTTACCTACCACATGGGAGTCCAGTGCCTTAACCACTACGCCACCTGCTGGCCCCCTCCTGTCTTTTAAGTTAATCTTTTCAGAGAGAGAAAGAGACAGTCTCCACCCAACCTCAGCCAGTCCCAGGTCAAGGGGGGCACGCGTGTGAGTGTGCCCTGCTCACAGGTGACCTCACCTCAAACGCCAGGCCGTGTTTCTGGCAGAAGGTCTGCACTTCGGGGTAGGCCGTGCTCTGCAGAGCGTCTCTCTCTGCGTCCATATCTGCAAGGAACAACGGAGAGGGTGTTACAGGAAGAACCCAGAACTCTTGCTGGCCCGGCAGGTAGCACAGTGGGTAAGGCTCTGGAATCCCACGTGGCTGATTGCAGTTCGAGTCCTGGACCCGGTGGCTTGAAATTCATGCCAGGTGTGAGTGCGTGCATGCCCAAAATTCTGGGAAGACAATGGAGGACAAGGAATTTTGTGGCGTGGCCATCTCCCGGGGAGAAGGGGATGATTTCTCATTTTCTGTCTCTTGCTCTGTCTCCCCGGCGAGCGCACACACCCTACAGCAAAAAAGCTCCCCAAAAAGAAAGAAACAGGAGTCCTTGGGGTCAGCAGGTGGCGTGGAGGTTAAGGTATTGGACACCCACATGGCTTCCTGCATGGTTCAATTCTCAGACCAGGCACATGTGCGTATGTACCCAAAATCACGGGAGAAGGGATTGTGGCATGACCACACTCCATTGGGGGATGCTTTTTCTTTTTCTTTCTTTAAAAAAATTATTTTATTTCGTGGGAACCAGCAGTTAGCATAATGGCTATGTCGCTGGACTCCCACGTAGTCAACCGCGGTTCACGTCCCGGACCCGGTGGCTTAAAATTCATGCTGGGCATGTGTGTGTGCGTGCCCAAGGTCCCAAGAAGAGAATGGAGGAGAAGGGGGTGATTTCTCGCTTTCTGTCTCTCTTTCTCTGTCTTTCTGGCGAGCGCACACGCCCTGTAGCAAAAAAACAAAAAAAAAAAAAAAAAACCCTCAAGAACATGTAAAATGATTTGAAAGCAATGAGTTTTGAGTTTTTTTTGGAGAGGTTTTTGCTATAAGGTACATGCGCTTGCCCAGAAAGACAGACAGACAGAAAGCGAGAAATCACCCCCTTCTCCTCCATTCTCTTCTTGGGACCTTGGGCACGCACACACACATGCCCAGCATGAATTTTAAGCCACCGGGTCCGGGACTTGAACCGCGGCCAGGTAGGTGGGAGTCCAGCAACATAGCCATTACGCTAACCACTGGTCCCCCATCATGAACTTTTTGAAGTACTTATGTATATATGAATAATTCTTACCACATTTCCTATCAATCATGTAATAAGGACTCAATAAATAGTGGCTGTTATGATTTGAATAAATAAGAAACAGCATAAGACTGCCATAGTCTAGGCTACACAGTGTGCAGAGCTCTTGAAAGAGAAGGGAAAGGACAGCTAGACTTTAAACAGAATCTTTAAGTTTCTAAGCCCCCGCGTCTGGGCCTGGAACCGCGTCGACTACGTGGGAGTCCAGCGACATAGCCATTACGCTAACTGCTGGTTCCCTTTCTTTCTTTTTTTTTTAAAAGAAGTATTTATTTTATTCTATTCGTTATTATTATTCTTTTAAATTTGACCAGAGAGAGAGAGGGAGGGAAAGTGAGAAAGCAAGCCACCAGGTCCAGGACTCGAACCGTGGTCGGCCACGTGGGAGTCCAGCACCTTAACCACTGTGCTACCTGCCGGCCCTGAGCTTTTTGTTTTTAATTGCCAAATGGCATATACGCTCGCCAAAAAGAGACAGAGAGACAGGAGTGGGGGGAAAAAAAGCATCCCCTGGGGCAGGCAGGTGGCATGGTGGTTAAGGGTGCTGGACTCCCACATGGTCAACCACGGTTTGAGTCCCGGCCCCAGAACTTGCTTTCTCACTCTCCCACCTCCACCTCTCTCTCTTTCTCTCTTGCTCTGTCACTCTGGTCAAATTAAAAATAGATAGATGATAGCTAGATGGTGAAAATAAAATAATTTTTTTTTTTTTATTGGAGAGGTTTTTGCTATAGGGCACGTGTGCTC